AAGATCAACAATAAAAAAAATGGCTAAAAATATCAGGACTTTTTCCATAAATAGCACTGTTAATTTTTTTTTTCCAAAAAGAGCAGCCACTCCCAAAAAATTTCAAAAATAGCACCCTTGTTCGAATACCGCAGAGTGGGGGCGCGGTTTTTTATGAAAACCGCACGGGTGGGGGCGGTTTTGCTGACCGCATGGGGCCAGAGCGGTTTTGGTGCAAACCGCACCCCCAGGGGACGGTTTGTAATAAATGTTTTCTTTTGCAAATAATCACCATAAGTGGTCTTGGCATAACTGGTTAAGTTGTTTCTTGTATACAAAAAGTCTTTGGTTTGAAACACCATCATCCCATATTAAATTTTTTATTTAGTAGAGATTAAAAAAGCAACATGTTGTGGGGTGGTGGTTCAAACCCTGATAGTATAAATAGTTAACTAAATTTTACATAACATCTTCACTCCAAACTACAAATCTTTTGTTGAGACAATTACATATTAACAAAGTTTTAGTCCTTGAATGCTAACAATCCTCAATAATTTTGAACAACCATAACTTTGTGCTCCAAAATCCGAACGTCGTGATTTTTTTTTCCATTTCGCATAACTTTTGAAGGACTACAATTTTTACAAGGAAGAAATTTTGAAAACAGAAATTATTATTGGATATACAGGATTTTGGGAATAACGTTACCTTCCCTTTTCACATATCTACGTACATTTCGAAATTATGTCTATGATAAAAGGTGTAGTCCTTAAAAAGTTATGTGAAGTGAAAAAAAGTTTCATGACGTTCGGATTTTGGAGCACAAAGTTATGGCCGCCCAAAGTTTGAAGAATCGAAAAAAGGCTCGTTGGGATAGCAAATGACGTTTTTTCGAGACGAAGGCGGGACCAAACTGCCTACGATCGGATACCCGAGTGCAAAGTTACGTTCGTTTAAAGTTTTTGCCGAGGTTAGGAGTTGATATGAAAAAGAAAAAAACTGGACCAAAACCGTTGGGTGGGGTGGCGGTTTTGGTCCAAACCGCCCTCACCCAGAGGGGTTTTCAGAACCACCCCTTAACCATGCGGTTTTCATTGAAAACCGATGAAAACCACACCCCCACCTTGCGGTTTTCGTGTAAACTGCTGGTTCGGGTGGCGGTTTTTGGGAAAGGGTGCTATTTTTGGAATTTTTCGAGGTTGAGTGCTATTTTTGGAAATTTTTTAAATAGTGCTATTGCTGGAAAAATCCCAAAATATCATACACTTAACCTATATGAGACCGTTAGAATCATAAAATACTCGGTATAACAACCCAGAAACATTAATAAAGCGTTCGATTCAAGTATAAATCAAAGACTTCATAAATTTGGAATTTAGATAATGATTTTATAAATATATATTCTTGTGTTATGATGTATGTTAAGATCAACCCTTAATGGATGCTCAGTCTAAAAATTGAGTGTTGGTAGTCTAGAGTTAATTATTGAAGATACACACCATCATTTTGAGTAAGAATAATGTCATGCATGTTGACTTAGAAACGCCCCGTGTAGTTTAATATGAGATTTTTTTTCTTACTTTAAGATGCAATTTAATTTTCTTACTTTGAAATTAAAATTTTATACTTAATTTTGACTTTTCAGATTTTCACTAAATTGATGAATTGTAAAGAATATTATATGAATATAAATTATTTTTCAAAGAAAAGATCAAATTACAATAATGAAAACCACCCAGCCAATCAGCCGGGCCACAGTAAGGTATTCAATACTTGTTGGTGACATTTTTGTCAAATCATTTAATTAATTCAAAAATGCCTGTTTTTTTCTTCTTTTTTTAGAGAAATATGAGTTTCAATACGCATTTTCAATACCTGCAAACTGTTATGTTACCCCTTGAATTTTTCTAACTTATAAATATTTAATGATACTTTCAGACATATTGTTATGCTACCCCTTGAATTCTTTTAACATATAAATTTTTAAAGATACTTTCAGACATATAATGAATAAGTTATTTTTCAAATGTTTATATTAGAGTTATCCTTTTGTCAAATATGAAAAATATGTTATGTTAAACAATTTTCAAATATATTATTAATTTTTTTCCTATCTATATTGACCCAATCATGGTAACAATCTTTAGTTTATATCGTATTTGATAGTAGGATGTGCTACATGATATTCATTTTTCAATTATGAAACAGAGACAGATTGTTATGTTACCCCTTGAATTCTTTTAACTTATAAAATTTTAAAAATACTTTTAGACAGATAATGAATAAATTATTTTTCAAATGTTTATATGAGAGTCATCCATTTTTGCAAAATATGATATGTTAAACAATTTTGAAATATATTATTATTTTTTTCCGATCTATATTGACGCAATCATGGTAACAATCGTTAGTTTGTATCATATTTGATAGTAGGATGTGCTACATGATATTCATTTTTCAATTATGAAACAGGATGTGTTACACACTATTGACACTTTATTTCTTTTTTAATTTACATTGAAGCTATGATGGAAGAAATCTTTAGTTTAAATCTTATTTTAATCCAAAATAGAATGTGTTGTATGAGATTCATTTTTCCAGATATGAAAATAGGATGTAATATATAGCATTGAAACGTTTTATAAATTTGTTTATTTATATTATAATTTATATGGAACATTCATGCAATAAAGTTTTAGTTCGCATCTTATTTAGAGTAACTTTAATCATGTTAAAAACTGTAGTTAAACATTTATGCAATAAAGATTTAGGTAAGATCTTATTTAGAATAACTTTAATCATCTTAAAAACTGAAGTTGTCATAATATCAAAGAAAATTTTCTTTAATTATGTTGATTATTTTTAACCTTTTTTGCACAAAGTTAGGAACTCCAGCCCCCCAAATGCCAAATCCTGGCTCCGCCCCTGCCTCGACCTCCTCATCGTGTTCCTCGTCCCCATTCGCATCCTCGGCTTCCTCCTCCATATCATCCTCAGTGTTTTCCTCTTCGTGCTCTTCCACATAATAGTACCATAGATGCCAACATAAAGGAGCATAAAAGTACCATAAATGCCAACATATCAAAGGAATTAGACAGGAGTCTCGATGGAGATGACAATCATGTTGCTAGTCGATGATCGAGCTATTTAAGCTCCTCCATTTGAAAAATACAACCCTATTTTCTAGCCCTTCAAATCTTAGCCGCGTCTTCATATCCTCAATAGAACATCCTGAAGGTGCAAACCTTATTTGATAACCTTGGTTAGTAAGTTGGCCAACATAAACTAGATTAGGAACAAGGAAGTACCAATAGTTCTAACATCACCATTCCCGCCGAGCCAATTACCAAAGCCAATAACCTGATTGCGAAAATGAGGGTTGCTAACAGTAGCAAAATTAGAACCATACTGACTAGAGAGGTTGGCATTAGCACTCAAATTAGCTCCATAAGCACCATGGGAAGGAGGATTGCTATCATTAGCAATATTAGATCCATTCCCGCCGAGCTGATTACCAAAGCCAACAACCTGATTACGATAATGAGGGTTGCTGATAGTAGCAAAATTAGAACCATACTGACTAGAGAGGTTGGCATTAGCACTCAAATCAGCTCCATAAGCAACATGGGCAGGAGGATTGCTATCATTAGCAATATTAGATCCATGTTGTTCAGCTCCAGTCGGACTAGAGAGTAGATATTGATTATCTCCACCCGTTGGCCCTTGCAAGGTTTGCTAATATCACAAACACAAGGAGGAATCAGAAAAATAATTCATACATTAAAGAAGGGAATCAAAAAGCTTGGAACTGGAACATACTTCACCAAGGTGTGCAAAGTCGCTAGAATTAGGGCTGAAATTCTGACCCTTAAAACCCGAAGGGTCGGGCCGGGTCAATTTGCATAGAGGGACAAGTTCGGGACGGGTCTTCCTCTTGACCCTATAAGGGACGGGTCAAACTACACTCAGACCCTAAAAAATCCACCTGACCCTGTGACCCGAAAAACAGACCCGTAGAAATTAATCGGGAGTTCGGGACGAGTCTTCTCCTTCTTCATTCCTCTCGCCTCGATTCTCAATTCTCAATTTCTCATCGACTGAAAGAAAACCTACACCCTAAAATCTCAATCGATTCTCGACGACTTCCATCCGGGCGTCCAGCCCAATCGTCGCGCTTCCTCGTCGGCGGCGCGGTTGGAGAATCCCTTCACCGCTTCACGATACCTCTTCTCCATTCTTCTCATCGACTGAAAGGGAAACCTACAGCCTAAAATCTCCACCGATTCTCGGCGACTTCCATCCGGGCGTCCAGCCTAGTTGTCGTGCTTCCTCGTCGGCGGCGCGGTTGGAGAATCCCTTCACGATACCTCGTCGCCACCAGGACCTTGGAGAAGAAGTTGTTGGTCGAAAATCTGTATCAATTATAGGTATGTTTCTTCGGTTTCCTTCTTTCATTGTCTCTGTTTCAGCCCCAAGATTGGTGGTCTCTGGCTACTCTTACTGCTTTGATTTTTGTGGATTTGCTCATATATGTGTGGTCTGAGTTTGGTATTTTGGTTACCCATATATGTATGTTCTCTGGGTTTGGTCTTCTGGGTGTTTTCGTGGACAAACCAGGTCGTCAGCTATGGTCAATTTGGGCTGTGAGTATTGCTGTTATCTTGTTAACCATTACTGTCCTCATGGTTTATGTACAGTAGGTCGTATCATATCCATATCAATGTTGAGTCGATGCAATGATTCAGCTGGCATCCCCATTACTCAAAACTAGCAGTAGTACTTGCTCCAAATTCTTCCCTCGAGAGTGAAAGCTGAAAGCCTAAAAATGGATCTCAATTGAACCAAAGCTGCAACCTTTTTCCCACACTCTCCCCTCTTATGTTCCCTCCAATCCACAATGCCGTTCATACTAACCCCTTTTTCTCTGCACACTATTGTGATGAAGTCTCTCTAGCTACAATTTTACTTGTTTGACAAGTATGAAATGGATGCACCATAAATCAGGAAAAGCATACATATGAACATACTGCATACATATATTAGACACAACAAAAAGACTAAGCAGATCATGAATCTTTCTGAGCCATAGTTTCTAGGACAACCGATCGAGGATTTTTCCCTGGGGGACCCTTCTCCCTGCGCTCGAGTTCTTCGAGCCGGAAAGTGATCAACCGATCCCAGACCCCTCCTTCTAGAAGAACCCCAGCCTTCCCATCTGTAATCCTCTGTACAATGCCACAGTACATGTAGTATGGACTGTTGGTGTTCTTCACAAGAGCAATCATACCAGGCATTAGCAGTGGCAACTCGGGCGCTCTAGGCTTCTTTCCAGCTGTAGTAATCCCTGCTAGAGCCCCTGAATCAGTCTTCTTAGGCGGTGGGTTTTCCTCGATGAACTTCTGCAGCCCCTTCTCCCCACCAGGAAATCCACCAGTTAGTCCCATCATTTCCTTGTCAAACCCATCTTCTGGGACGAAAACTAGTCAGAAGAAAATGTGAGAGCCTATTGGAATATGAATAATCCCAACTTGGAAACATAACTTATAATGCCATTAACATAAGGCGGGGTAACGTTCAATTTATGATAAGCAGCAACATTGATATGATACGACCTACTGTACATTAACGAGGTAACTAAGTAGACACTTTTTCTACTGGTTGAGTTGATGCAATGATTCAGATTTATGATTTGCCCATTTCTGTAAGATCTGATAGCTAATGGTGTTGCTGCTGTGGTGTACATACTACCGTTCCTCTCTCCTGCAGTATCAAACTTTGGAATTTAGAGGGAGTATGTGTCTTTGAGTAGAGGGGAAAACACAGTAGTCCTTAGTGGATGCTGTTGCCTTGTTAGTTAGGGTAGAAAGGTTGGGTTTGAAGGTGGCAAGAATTTTTATGTCAACAATGGTGGCTGGTGGGAGGGCTAGAAGAAGAGGGGGAGTTTTTGAAGTCATTCTGCTTTTTCAATCTCTTAGTTTATGATGCTTGGTTTCCTTATGTTATTGGAAATCTTCACTTGGTATTAATTATTTGATTCATTAAAATGGCAGGATATGGATGAAGCTAGCAGTAATCCCATGGAGGTCTCCACCAATGCACCTTCTCAAGGAAATCTTCCGTTAGTTGATGAAAATGAAGAAGGTACATTCGGAACTTCAGCTGTATGGGAGCATTATAATAGAGAAAATTGGTCGGATAAGGAATCTAGAAAAGCTGTTTGCAAATATTGTTCATCAAAGTTAAAATGTCCATCTACTTTTGGAACAAGTGGTTTGAAAAGGCATTTGCAAAGATGCAAAAAATATCCTTATAGTAATCATAATCAGAAGAAATCTAGAACTCCTAGCGCTCAAGGTACCAATACTACAACTCAGGGTACTAGTAGTGCTTCTCCTACTTTTACACCTCACACATATGATCCAGTTGTCTCAAGGATGAAACTTGCTAGAATGATCATTATTGACGAGTCACCTTTTAGGCAAGTTGAGCATGAAGGCTTCCGTGACTTTGTCCATTCGCTAAGACCTGAGTTTCACATCCCTTCTAGGATCACCATAGCCAAAGACTGTTTTAAGTTGTTTTTGGCTGAGAAGGAGAAGTTGAAAAATTACTTCAAGCAGTCACAGATTAGAGTTTGCCTCACAACCGATATATGGGCAAGTAGACATCATTTGGACTACATGAGTCTAACTGCTTATTTCATTGATAATGAATGGAAAATGCAGAAAAGAATTATCAACTTCTCTCCTATTCCTAATCACACGGGTCTCACAATTGGAAAAACGGTTGAAAAACACATGCTTAATTGGGGAATTGATAGGGTTCTAACCGTGACAGTCGATAATGCAAGTTCGAATGATGTGGGCATGACATATTTGAAGAAGAGGATTAACAATTGGAAGGGGAGTGTGTTGAAGGGAATACATCTTCACATGAGATGTTGTGCTCACATATTGAGCTTGACTGTGAAAGATGGATTGAAAGATGTTGATGAATCAATCCATCGTATTCGGTCCGCTGTGAGATATGTGAGGTCATCAAACTCCCGAATGCAGAGATTTAAGACTTGTGCCCATGAGGAGAAGTTGGAGACCTAGAAACTAGTGTGTTTAGATGTGGAGACTAGATGGAATTCCACTTTCTTGATGTTGGAGTCCGCTTTGGTATTTAAAAGGGCATTTGAGAGGTTAGAGGAAGAAGATGATAAGTATAAAGTTGTGCTAGAGAAATTGAAAGGGACACCAAATGAGTTGGATTGGCATTATGTGGAGTCTCTAGTTCCTTTTCTGAAGATTTTCTATGATGCTACACTGAAAGTTTCGGGTTCTTTGTATGTCACAAGTAATGATCTCTTTCATGTCATATATGGAATTGCTTGTAAGCTTACAAAGGAAACTTCATCAACAATTGAGAGTCATAAATCCATGGCAAGAAGAATGAAAGCTAAGCATGATAAGTATTAGGGCTCATTTGATAACATCAACCCTTTGCTGTTTATTGATGTGGTTCTTGACCCGAGGTACAAGTTGGAGTATGTTTGTTTTGCGCTTGATGAGGTTTATGGGATAGAACATGGCGGAATTTGGACTAAAGATGAGTTGTTTGAGAGCGTGAAGGGATTTTTGGAGGATATGTTTAATGACTATTCGGAAATGAGAGGGGTTACTTGTGAAAGCTCATCAAGAAGTTTGGGGAGTGCAACACCAAATGAGAATGATGAATCTGAAAGTGTGGAAGATTATTTGAAGAAAAAATTCAAGAGAAAGAGAATGGAAGATAGGGTGGGAGAAACTACACTTTCGGAGCTTGAGAGGTACATAAAGGCGAATCTTGAGGATGATGAGGACATAACTTTTAACATTTTAGCATGGTGGAAGAAGCATTCTAGTGAATATCTGATAGACCGTTAATTACACATGTTTTTACCCCTGTTCTTACACCGTTTGAGGTGTTGATTCTCGTGTTTTAGGCCGATTTCACGCTAGGTTGTGCTTGTTTGTGATATTTCAGGTCCTAGTACGTGAATGGAGGCTTGGGAGCGAGTTTGGGGTCGATTGGACGAAGATCAGACGCGTGGCGAGGTGCTAAGGAAGCCGCACGGGCATTCCTGGACATCACACCGCCGTGCAACTCACATTTGTGGCCGTGTGATTTTCGTCGAGAGCAAACACGGGCAGGATGGGAATCCCACACGGCCGTGCGACCCTGGCCGTGTGGGAAGCCTGAAGATCAAACTAATTGATACGCCGCGTTTTGACTCACACGGGCAACTGGGTGAGCCACACGGCCGTGTGGCCTGCCCGTGTGAGTCGGGAAATCTTGGTTTTTCAGCCAATTTCGAGCCAAAAGAGGGAGGATCGGACTTTTTGAGCAAAAACAGAGCCCTGGAGAGAGAAAGTACGAAGAACACATCCTAGAAGCTATCTTGGAGCTGGGTTGCATAGAATCGAGCTTGGAGATCGTCCTAGGAGTGGAAATCATCATGCCGGAGCAGATTTTCCTCATCTTTATGAGTATGACTACTCCGATTACTGTTTTCCTCTCTCTCTCTCTCTCTCTATGGAGTAGAACCCCTCTCTCACTTGGGGATGAAGAACCCTAGTTCTATGTGTTAGGGATTGATTGTAATGACTTGGGATGATATTACTGTTTGATTTTAATCGAATGATGCATGTTTATTGAGTCAATTGAAGTCTGATCAACTTTTCCTGATTCCTGCTGCAATCTGAGATAGATAGAATCTGATTAGGTTGCTAGAGTCTCATCATTCGGTAGTAGGAGATTAGCTATACAAGAGTTAGCCAGTTTACTGCTTTGTACTGGAATCTAATTCCAGTAGTGGAGTTCTGTTCTTACTGCTTCAACTTTCTATCCCGGTGAAGACTAGTCGTCTGCCGGGTAGTTAGACTGAGAGGGCTTGGTCAGCTTAAGAGATTCCAAGCTACTGTCGGATCTTCCGCGGTCTAATCAACAGTAAATCAACCCAGGGTAATTGCAATTGAACCTAACTAAGGAGCTAGGGGGACTCATTCCCGAGTGACTCTTTCCTGCTTGAGAAAACCGAATAATTTCCTGCTTTCTTGCTGATTTTAGTTTAAACAAAAATCACTCGACTTAGTTGGTTAGATAATAAATAATCACGGAGTAAGCAGTAGATCTAGACCCCGGGTTGATAATAGAACTTGCCTGTTACTGCATTCCCGGACTGCGATTACACTTGGTCGCAGTTTGGTGTTGTATTTTGGCGTGTCAGTATCCAATACTGAGCTTGATGGCTAGAGATGTGTTGGCGATTCCAGTATCCGCTGTTGCATCTGAGTCTGCTTTCAGTACCGGGGGGCGCGTTTTAGATGCATTTCGGAGTTCTTTGACTCCCTTGGTTGTTGAAAGTTTAATTTGTGGTCAAAATTGGCTTCGATCGAGTACTCTTCCAATCGACATGGAAGAGAATTTTGAAGAAATCGAAGAACTTGAACAAGGTATGAAAAGTAATTTGTTTTTAACATTCACTATTTTATTTAGATCATTATTAATTTATTTGATGTGTTGTTAATTTTGCAGAGTTGAAAGAGTCTTGCTTGGATGATTGCACTATCATGAGTGATTTAGTTGATGATGATTGAAGAATGATGTATTGCGTAATCATGATATGATGTCATTGATGATTATCTAACAATGATGTATTGTGTGATCATGAGTATGATGTACTTGATTATTATCGAACAATGATGTACTTGATGATTATCTAACAATTGATGTCATTTCATCCTTTCATCAACCACATATATTATGGGAGTTTGGTAAATAATTTGGTAAATAAATAATTTTCTGGAATTAATTGGGTAAATAAATAATTTTCTGAAATAATTTTGGCAATTGATTTATTTTCTGGAATTAATTGGGTAAATAAATAATTTTCTGGAATTATTTTGACAATTGATTAATATTTTGGAATTATGTTGGTGATTGATTAAATTTTTGGAATTATTTTGGTGATTAATTAATTTTTTGGAATTAATTTGATGAATAGATAATTTTATGAACAGAAATTCGTAAATAAAATGATTTTTTGAAATTAATTTCGTAATTGATTAATTTTCTGAAATAATTTCACAAAGACAGGCTGGAGGCAGAGTTCGAGAACTTCATGGCTATGTTTAGGAAGCTGAATGTCCAAGTACCTTTCCTGGAGGCACTATCTCAAATGCCTAAGTATGCGAAGTTCCTGAAGGATCTTCTCTCAAAGAAGTAGAAGCTGAGCGAGCTAGCCACTGTGGAGCTCAGCGAGGAGTGCTCGGCCATTCTGCAGAACAAGCTTCCGCAGAAGCAGAAGGACCCAGGTAGTTTTACTATCCCGTGCTCTATAGATAATTTGCATGTAGAGAGGTCCTTGGCGGATTTAGGTGCTAGTATAAATGTTATGCCATATAAACTGTTTAAGAAACTAGGCCTGGGTGAACCCCGTGCTACTAGGATGAGCCTTCAATTAGCTGACCGATCTGTAGTGCATCCTAGGGGCATAGTGGAAGACCTTCTGGTTA